ACACACACACACACACACACACACACACACACACACACACACACACACACACACATATGTATACACACGCGCCTCCAACGGTCGCACACGCACAAACCGGCATCGTCGTCGACGCCGCGCCCGTCTATCGGTATATAGTGTACCCCCGAGAGACCGGCTACGACGACGACGACGACAACCACGGTTCGTATACTATACTATGCGCCACTACTACTGCGACTACTATACGATTGTTACTATATATTATTATTATTATTATTATTATATATAGTAAATATATACGTACCTATGTATAGCTGTATAATACTTGTACTAACTATACTACAACTACTACTACTACTACAACACAAATGGTACTACACGCGAATCGGAACGGAAAAGTTTGTTACCTCCGCCGCCACGCGTCCTGTTGGCCGTCTAGTCGAGGTACGTGACGGCACTGGTGGGAGGAGGGAGGGAGGTGCGGAAAGAGAGGGTGGTGGCGCCTCGTCAGGGAAAAACGACGACTACCACACCCCTCCCGTGAGCGCGTGTAAAGGGTGCGGGTGGCGGTGGAGCTGAAGGCATACTCGCGAGAAGCGTATACCGGCGGGAAAACCGAGCCGGCAACGCCGCGTCCCCAGAGACCTGACCGTGCCCGTTGAATTTCCCATTGCGTTACAATGGGAATTCATTTTGACCGATGTTCCTGCAGCCACCGCCACCCGCGCACAACTCGCTGACGGACATCCCAAAGTAATTATGATCTCGAATCGATTTTTTTCATATATAAATACATGTATAGAAGTACCTGCACAATAATAATGTTTCGTGAGCGAGCAAAAATATACTGTTCACACATGCATTATGATGGTATATATAGATGTATAATGTTATTAACATACTATAGAGCAGTGGCGACCAAATGGTGGATCATGCGCGATTTCAAGATCAGCTATTGTTAGAATTTACTATGATACATTTAGTAGCTTGCGCCTACAACATCCTAGCGACCACTGTAGTGTATACGATAATTGTTTATATTTGTATGGCTCCTTAAAGGGAAAATATATTTTTAGTAGATCTTTATCAAAAAAAAGTTTGGCCCCCCCTTGCTATAGAGTAGTATAGGACGCGTATTCAAATGAACTCGAATTATATTGTTGGCCGGTAACGAAAACTAAGTAGAGACAGTATAAGTTACGGCCATTTTTTGAGGGATTTTAAATAGGAAATTATTACGTTTATTTATCTGAGAAATAAGGACAACTTTAATAGTTGGAAATTTATGTATAAAAATAAATCTCAAGTGATCCTGAGTCGGCAAGCTGATTGCTAAGTCATTGCGAAATTATTTAGTTTGAATTTACATCAGTAACCAACAACATTCGATAAATATTTACGATAATAAAACTAAATAGTAATTATGTTTAAATAAAGAAACGCCACAACAAAGGCAGACTCTGCTGAAAGTATGTCAAGCAATATCATATTATCATATTATATAATGTCTGTGTACTTGAGTCCATAATATGTTGTTGGATTTTGGAATGGTTATCGAGATGTATCGCAAATTTACATAGTTTTCCGAGCACTCCTCAATACTAGTATACACACACACCGGTGGTGGAAAATCCAGCTTTTACGCTATGCTGTTGAAAAGATAGCTGTAAAAATACTTAACAATCTTCAACGGTGTAGCCACGACTCACGAGACTATTGGAGGTGAACGGTGATTCCACTGCTAGATTAAACATTGTGGGCCCCTAGGTAGTTAAAATATCGATGCTTCTAGACAATAATTTTTATTACCTACTCACGTCCTTAATTGTACTCCCTACTCAATAATTAAAATAAGCTGTTTTAATGATAACCAACTTATTTTAATAAATAAACAATGTTTATTATATTATTTCACTAAAACTTTTTTATTAATTTATAGAAAAAATGAATTAATAATAATATTTTTGAAATTTTTTTTTTATTTTTCTACTAATTAAATAAAAATAAATAAAAACAACAATAAAAAATACTTATGGTAAATTGTAATGCTTAGTTTAAAAAATTTGAACTTCAAATAAATGCGGCGGTCGATGAAAGCTTGAGTCATGCACGACGGTAATGTTCGTCTCCGCCTGATAGTATACAATAAACATACCTAATAATTTTAATTCGACAAAATTCAAAAAATATTTTCTTCAATTATATGCCGTATGATATTAATGTCGAATTTTAATTTCACGATGCCCCCATAACGAGTGAAGCCCCTTGATGGATGCCTACTTCGCCTATTGCCTAATAGATATAATCCAGCACTAGGTGGTGCAGGGAGACGTTAATTGATTAATTTAATAAAAATAATTATGGAAAAAATACATTTTTCTTCAAGCATTATATCTAACTATATATTTTTATTTGTTGCATTGACCATCTCACTACTACAAAATCCTGGCTATGACTGGTGATGGTAATATTAATACGTGTTAACTGCTTTTGTACCACACCTAGCGTCCTATCCCGTAATTTATTGGTGCGTGGTAGGTATCACTTTATCAGTGGCGTCTATAGGATAGGCCTGACTAGGGGATTTTAAGGATAAATCCCCTAAGCCCTATTTTATTATCCAATTTAAATAATTTAGAACATTTATTATATTGGTAAAGACATATTTTATTTAGGTAGGTACGAACGTTATATTATTTTACTTTATTATATGCAAATATGATACATTTCCGAATCACAATTTACCACATACTCGCACACGTGCAGTTCGGTGCCTTCCATCTTAGTTACGAATTTTTGTACAAACGTCTAAATTCAAACACGTCAGCAAATTTGTATTATTGTAATAATGCAATGGAAATTTGTCTATTTTCACACGACAACCTGTCCGAACGTGAACGCATACATTATATTTATTTCATTCGACTAAAAAATATTGTAGTTGACACATGACTTTTCATCGAAAACAACCTCGTTCGAAATATTTGGATAATATTAACAAATTTAAATATTAATATACTTAGGAGGTACCTGTAGGAGTTAAAATTGTATTATGTAAAATATAATATTTTTTGGAACTACAAAATCATACTATGTGTCTATGTTATTGCAATATTGCCTAAAAAATAATAAATAATCTCATATAGGTACCTACCTACATAATATCTTTATTTATTTATGAAAAACGGACATACTCAAAAACATTGTATAATTAAGTATAATATAGAGTTTAAACTATGCTGATTATATATATGTATGTACATTGCACTTTAATAGTTTATTAAAATAAAATAGTATAAACGGCAACACAATAGTGAATAACAAAATCAGGTTTAAGTTACTATACGCGTAGACTAACACATCATTCGAATTCAATATAAAATATAATTGTATTATAATTCAACATCAATACATCATAATAATTAATTGCGATCAAAACCAATATACATGACGGAGATAATGTTTTGAAGCTTAATCAAGTTTATGGGATTTGTTTTCTTCAAAAAGTCATGGTTGCCTTAGGCCTCAGCGCTTGGATCAGCCAGAGAGCTTAAATTTAAATTTCGGATTACACTTGATAATCACATGACTCGTGGGAACTGAGAATAGCCAAAAGATGTGTAAAACATCTAAACATATTCCTCAAATGTCAAAGTATATACGAACACAGCCCAGAAGCCTATATTATTAGTTCTTTAGTTTTTTCACCATAGATAATCAGTAAATTCACATTTTTCGATTCTTACACAGTTTTTACTGAATTGATTACACTTCAGGAATTATTATCGATTGTTCGGTAGTGTTATTAACACTTTACCACACATAGAAAAGTCGATTTGGATTCCACGCAATCATATGTACATATCGCCGATTGATGATATTTAATTTCCCCCCCCCCCCTATGTTTGTGATTCATCAATTGTATTGTTTGGGAAAATAAAAATTGACATTGTACTTAAGTTTACTGTTTACACGTCATCGAGTCAACCGGTTATTCTTATAGAAATAGTAGACGGTGAGGCGGCAACAGTTGTCTTGTGTACGTGTAATATTTTATCTATCTATATAATATACCTAATAGCTGGGGACACGTCCTACCGTAACGGTAGCGAGTTTCCGTAAAGGTATATACTATATTTAATACAATAAAAATCGACTACCTGCTGTAACAAAAACGCGGATATTGGTACACGCACTCGTGTATAGTGAAACATAGGTAAAACATAATATTGTTATAAAGTCAGTGTTAATCATTGCGAAGTAGCGTTCGGCGAACACGCAGTGGCATTGTGGCATATACAGATACCTCATACCTGCTATGTGTAACAAATAGTATATAATGTTGTTACCAATTATCATGTTTTGCTCATGTCCAAACAACGCACACACTATTTTAAATAGTGTTATAATTTATGGTGTATTGTAATATTGTTAATAATTATATTAATAAAAAAATGTAAGGAAAAAAATTCGAACAAATAAAATCGTAGGTGCCTTGGGGCTATATGAATATGATGACATATGTTGATAAAGCATGCCGTCGTACACATATCTCTCCACCGTGCATTATTACAACAATATTATACAGAGAGTCTAGAAAGTTTGGAAATTTTTCACAAGTATGCGCCAGCGGTATAATAAACGTTTTTTTTTGCCGAGTTTCCCTGTTTAAATATATATAAGTGTGTGTGTGTGCCAAGTATAAATAAGAACCGCTCGTTGAGGAAAAAATGTCATACCCTCCGGTGCTTTCGAAAAACAGAAGTGGATTTTTATCCCGCGCACTCCACATATGCACTATATGCATTGCACGTATATACATGGACTTTTCGAAAGCGACGTTACCGTATATACATATAGGTACATGTATCGCATGCTCCGAACTCGTAACCATAAAAACCAGTGCAGTGCATGTTCTAATAACGCTACGATTTCGCACCACGCGGTAGTTTGAACACAACGTATTTTATGGGTACCTATATATAGAGGTAGCTGGTGTATAATATCGGTGTACTTACGTCTGAGCGAACGAGGTGTAGCCTGTTTCCTCCTGGACATGATGGGCACGATTCTCGGCTGGTCGCGTGGAGTTCGCGTCTTTTTATCTCTCTCTCTCTCTCACACACGCACACCACTATTTCGCTCTCTCGCCCTTTATCTCTCTCGTCTTTCCGCTCCTTGATTACTCATAGTTGTTTGTTTTTCGTTTTCGCACACAAGTCCCTCGCCGCACCCGCCGATGTAAACGCGATCACGCGATCCTTCCGACCGACCGACGGTAGCGGCGAGACCACTACGAGTGGTCTAATATATACGAGTGCGAGTCCGACGATCGGAGGAGCTGCAGCGCCAGACGTTTCCGCCGCCGCCGCACGCGCGTTTACGGAAACGGTCACCACTCTTGTGGGGTGAAAAAAGAGCACGGCACGTGTGTTATAATTTTGTAATCCCTTAGACACTTGTACGCACTGGTTGAATGATATCGTACCTAAATATACCGCGGACGGATAATAGATATTATATTATTTAATTATTAATATTCCCGCACTTTCACCGCAGCGGTCAAAAATATTTTTATACTTTTTAATTAATTTTTTTTCATACCCGACAACCTATACCTCGTGCGATTTCCAATTCGAATTTCCACAGTGTATACGCACTTATACCACTTACGAATATACATATATTATATGCATAATGTACGTGTATTGTATTTACGCGCCGCGGTCGTGCGTGCGTGTTGAGCGCGTGTGGCGTATTAGAGAACACTTCCGGTCCGGACAACGTCGGGCCAGTGACTTCCGCCGCCGGCGAAACGTTCGTCGCCGACGCCGCCGACGCACGACCATGAGCAGACGGGCCGGCGCGCGCAACCCTTATATATACGCGTCGTGTGCGCGCATGATGTGCTCTGTATATATATATCTTACATTATATTATATATATACACGTCGTACACGTGTACGCGATAGTTTGTACCTATAGACAGTAAAATAATTTATACAATTTATTATATTATTATTATCATAATTGGTGTTATTATAATATTATTGCCGTCACCACCACTGCATTTTATCATCGATGTTTTTATTGTGATTGTTATTGTTTTACACCTTTAAGTGCCTAGTGCATACACGGCGATAAATTATATCCCGTCGACAATGTCGTTATTATAGGTCGAATCGCTAACGCGTGTAGCCAAACGATCTCCGACATTACAAGCGTTTACCTTGTTTAGGTATACTATACACATATATATATATTATATTGGCATTGTTTACACTCTAATATCAAAGTCAAAGTGCTTTCAGTAGAGACTTTTGTTGTTTACTTCAAGAATACTTGAGATCAAATACCTGTGAGCTCAAAACTACTATGCCATAATATTGTACATACGTGCATACCTCTTTTATTATTTGCAAGAAAATAGTATTCGTACTTTAAACATGATAACACAGATATTAAAAATAGGTATGTTTTTTATATATTTACAGATGAATAAATATTATACTCTAATGCAGGGATTCTCAAACAATGGTACTCGTACCCCTTGGGGTACTCGAAATTTTTTAAGGGGTACGAGTCTGGCCAACAAACCAACAAGGAAAAAATTCTTTAAAAGTCTCTAAATTGTTTTATATTGTATTTTAGTTTAGTAACTAAGAAGGGGGTACTCAAAAAAACGTATTGATAAAAAGGCGTACAGTGTTTATAAGAGTTTGAGAATTCCTGCTCTAATGTATTATGCGCTGTCCATTACGATATCAGTAATTCCAGTTGTTTTTTTTAAATCAATAGTTTGCACTTCATAATCAGCATGGGTTTGCATGAAATTTGATTTACCACTAAATCAAATATTCTAACTAAAAACTAAATTTAAATTTCTGATCAAGTGGCACTGCTGGGAGCCTTCCTATAATTAATGTTATTATGTCAAATTATGTATGTCAACATACTTACTCATTATACCTTTGTCTCGTATAGATTGTAAATATATTTTTAAACAAAAAATATTGCCACATTGCCTGTCACAATTTTTCAACGCTGATGAGATTTATACCATATAACATTTAAAGAAATTTAATTTCAAAGAATCATATTACAAATTTGAAACTAGAGTATAGTGATAGTAGGGTTTGCAAATATTCTCTGTTAATCGATACATTGCAGTTTCACTGTTTCACTGGATAAATTTGACAACAGTGATAATCAACACGTAAGTTTCATTGAATTATTAGTAACTTATATTTAATTAAAATATTTTAATTTTTAGTTTTTCCAAATATTATTAATAAAATAGAGTGGAGGTGTGGACTGATTTCTATTACTTAAAATTATGAGTTTTACTCAATATTCCAGCCCTCCTGTTCCCGAACAAATAAATGTATACCCGCTTTGTAAATTATAGGTAAAATAAAAAAAACAGTCTATTAATAAACTGATCAATTTTACAACTGAGACGTGAGTACGTAACATATAAATATATAATAATATATCATTATTCATTATATACAAGTATATAGGTATATATTAGTTTATTACCTACCTTGGATCATAGTATTAATATAATACATTAATACCTAATATAAAATAATATAAAAGGTAGGTACCTAATACCTATATTTATTATATAAATAGTAATTTGTTTTTGCTGTATTTAGATAACAGTGACATAATTTAAAAGGAAAAAAAACGTAAATCACATGATTTCTACCAGTTTTAATGTATAATATTAATATATTCAAGTATAAATATTTAACTACTTTGCGCGTAGAATGCAATGTACCTATTTTATTATTTATAACATAGCGATTAACGGTACGCATAACATTTTACGTGATACAAGTCAGAACATTATTACGTATTTATACATGTAGATACACATAAATAATAAGGTTAAAACGTTATTGTAGCTATTGTGATTTGTGACAAATGTCTTTAAGGATTATTATTATTATACATTTTAACATTTATAGGTACCTACTCAAATATCCACACTCGCCAGTCACTAACTCTAATCGGATACCTAGCTACTATACATTATTATAATTATCAAACTTCATGAATGATAAAAGTTAAACTTAATTATAATTAGAACACATTTATGGGAAATAATAAATAGGTAAATATCCAAGTGATTATTGTAATATTATTATCATATATTAATAATCGTTTTAATGACTTTTATCTACATTTGAGGTTTTATGTTAATAATATATCAATATTATACAGATTGTTGTCAATGAGTACCACGTGCAGTATCATTTATTGTGTATAGTTAACCATCAACTCATCATTAAAATAGTAAAAATATTAAAATACATAAACCAAAAAGTGAGCTGCAGCCGCCCGTGTCCAGTAGGAATTTCAAATGTTTACAGTTTATACTATCCTAACGACTAACACTAATCTATATTGATGCAAAAGCCTGAAAATGAATTTGAATTTATTGAAAAGTTACCTTATACCACAGAATAAAACAATACATTTTATCACAATTATATTCTGTGATTATATTATAGGATTACTGAATATTCAGTGGAAGACAGTCACGTCGTATAGCCAAAAACAGTATTCTACAACCAGGAATTGCCAAAAATTAAATAAATTGTGATATTTTAATGAAAACAATAACTAAAATACCAGAAAACTCGTTCTTCTATAATTTAGTAAGTACAAATTGTACCTAGTCATTACTCATTGAGTGTCAGCTAGTGGGTCATTTTAATGGTTTTTAGATTTAATAAATATGAATTCAATCATAAATTATAGATATTAATGTACGAAAAATGATTCTGACTAAAAAATGTAAATTATTTTTATAGCATTGAAAGACAATAATAGTTTCGACATTTTAATATTGGTTTACAAGATTAAAAGTAATTTAGAAAATATAAATTATAAAAAAAAAAATTAATTTATGTAGTAGTCTTACATGGTTAAAAATGATTATGTGAAGAATATATTCTCTGTTAATATGAAAATATATTGTGGATATTGAAGAATGTTTAAGGGTATAAAAAAGAGCAATTTGCAGGTGGGTCCAATATAGCCATGCATAGTTCGGAGTCGTTTAAGATAATATGGATAGTGTTACAAACTTCAGAGTTGTAGTGTGGAGAGGAGATGAGAGTCATTCAATGAAAGCTTAAATAAACGAGAAAGAAGTACCAAACTACCTATGGGGTGGCTAAATCGGAGACAAGATGACATTTCGATACGAGATTAAGGTTTTAAAACCAGGGATATGGTGGAATAAATATTTTATACCGAGTGGCGAAATTAGGTGGTAGCGTTGTTCAGCGTTTAATCCATAATTTGGTTATACCAATCCAGTGTTTGATGGGGAGTGGAAGCAATCGTCTAAATCAGGGTTGGATAAGTGGACAACTGGCAACCCGTCGAGCCTTTTTTATCTGGCTATTTTTTCAAATTACATTATATACAAAATAAATGCTGATTAAAATGTATATTTTAAATGACCCCCTTTTTTTGCTTTTTATGCTCTAGCCAGCTAGATTTTAATTTTCTAAAAATTGGCCCTCTAGTAACTTTGAGTTGTCCATCCCTGATCTAAATATATTAGTAGGTAATATTCTATAAAACTATATTTTAATAGGTATATTAATATGTACGATTTGTTTTTGACGAAAAGTAGTTCAACTGACGGTATTAACTAATTGTTGCTAAAGAAAACCGCAAGTAATAATATAACATCTGCCCCCCCCCCCCCCCCC